ACCCCAACAAATCGAGGTCAATTTTGTATATCCAGCGATTTTTAGTATCCAAAGACTCGATTTCAACCCTCACCCTTTAGGAGCGGAAAACATGGAAATAATTTGTTAATATTCAAAAAACAAAAGAATTAGGTAGTTGAAATATTGACGCAGCCAACGCCATTTATTATTGTTTTTTTCGTTAATTTTGTTCTCTCTAAATCAGAATAAATAATAAACAGAAAAGATTCGTTTAGAGATCTGGCATGTGAAGCTTACCTTGGTATTTCAATTACAAATGATATAATCCTTGAAGTTATATTGAGGCCTTAATACGTGACAATAAGGAACAGATTATTTTGTGAACTGCTCCCTTAATGTAGTGCTTAATTCCGAAACTTAAATAAATATTCCTTCATTTTTCCTCGCGGTTATTTTTCAAAGAACTCAAGGCTGCTGCATCTTAGTGTTCAGAACTATTTGCTTAATTGTTTAATTTTATGCACGGAGTTCGCTGAAACTTTATTAAAACGCGTAATTGTGTAGCGCTTGGCGGGCGAGAAAGCGGAAGGCCTTCCAGCCCCTAGTTAGTTAAAATTTCCGCTTTCTTCGAACAGACAGAATTCTATTTCAGCTTTCTTTTTTCTTGCCAAACATCCGGCCCCTCAAAAGCTAATTGTTGGCACATAGCACTAGCTATGTATGAAGGCGGAACCATTTCCTTTTTGACCTTGCGCCGGCGAGTGTTTAATTAATTTCGAGAACTGAGCCAAATAAATGGCAGGCGGTACCAGTGCCCTCGAGTTTGAAAGGAATGAGCGCGGCGGACGGACTTAAGTCTATTTAAAAATGAGGCCGAATTTTTCACACTTCGTGGCTATGCATCATCAAGTGACGGATGGGAGTGATCCCACCCTGGACGTCTTTAAAGGGACCGAATTTCTAATTTTTTTAATTAGCGAGCCTTTCGCTTTGCTTATCCCTTTTGGCCTTGGCCTGTTTACACTGTACCTGTGCACGCAGGGTTTTAATTAAAAAGCACGAAATTGACAGGATAAAAAAAGTGTTTACCTTTTGCCACCGTGCTGCCCGATTGTTCACGATTGTTGGACGGGTCTTTTGGCAGGCCTTTAATTTCGGCAGCCCAAGTGGATTTCTTACTTACTGCCAGTCACTTGATTATTCAGATTCGCACACACTGGAGCGATTGTTCGAGCGATTTGAGTGTTTTCATTAAATGCCTCTACCAGCCTTGTAAAAATCTAATTGCGGTTAATTTAGTCCTTAATAAACGCAAACCCTGTCCATTTCACACTGCCGCCCGTTTTGTTGGTCATAAGTTATGCAAGGTTTTCTTGTTTTTCCAGCAATTTTCGCTTTCTGTTCCTTTTTAGTGGCTGGCTAAATTATTTAAGCGATAATGGGGCGTAAAAGTCATAACTTTGAGGCTGTAAATTCTGGGCTTTCCTGAAGGTTCTTGGGTCTGGTCCTGTCAAGTGCATTAAACATGAGGCAAGGGTTTTGCTTTGTTTTGTTTCTGAGCTCCGGCGCACTCGAGTGAGATAATTTGGCAAGTTGTTTCGGATACGGCTTTATCAATTGTTGTGTACCCGCCAAATGGCTTACTTATTTCAAATGTAATTTATGGTAATCTCTGTCTTAATAACAAACCAATTAGAAAGTTTTCCATAATTTAATCAGATTCTCGTATTTGCCGGCAAAGTCCGCTGCCAGCCGGCCCAGTTTCCTCTGCCAACTCCATCACTTTGCCTAGCTGAAAAACTTAAAGATTTTTCCTTTCTCGCTGTTTTTCTTACGTTACGGTACGTCTGCTTCATTTATGAATAATTCATGAGGCAACTTTATAAAAATAACGCACAAATGGCACTAAAACAAGGCAAGTGGAATGCCGGCCTTTACGCAGAATTTGAAATGCCCTTTAACCGTTTGAGGTGAAGCTAACGAAATGTTGATAGTGGAAATGTCAGGGTTAAATAATTAAAGTACGGCCACACAATTCCAAAATTATATACATGTTTACTTGGTTTTCGATTAAATCTTAAAAGCATGGCCACATTGTAGAGTCAATATTTTATAAGGCAAATATTTGGTTAGTGTTGAACAAGGAATTGTTTTATTTAAGCTAATGCTCCTAACTTTTCCCTAAAATACTAAAAGCTAGTCTGGGAAAATTGCGGAGATAAAAGTTTCGTTTGGTCCTTACCTGCGCAGCAAAAGATGCCAACAATTTAAAAAATCTGAAATTGAAGATCCCTTGTTTGTCAGTGTGTGTGTGTAGAAAAAAATATGGTTTATTGTGAAAAGAAATATGCAAAGAAACCCCAAAAGAGGGGCGAATCGAAAAGCGGCTTAAAGCTTTAAAAAATGTAATAAATTAATAAATATATTTAAAGGTTGCCGCAATCGTTTAAGTGCAATTTGCATATTCAACAGATTTTTTAAACGAAACCGGGGTCGCACGATACTCCAACATATCATATCAAGCGGAGTGAAAACTTTGAACTTCACCTTTTTGTTTTTTGGCCCGTCGCAAACTTTGCTGCGGTTTGTGTTTGTTCAATTTGCATACCAAGTTGGGCCCCCATCATTTGGAAATGTTAAATTTTTATTTTGATAGCACCTCGCATGCAAATGAGTTTTGTGGGGAATTGGACTCGGTGGATCCTGTTGACCCGGAACGGAGCAACTTCCTTTTAGACAAGTTGCTTCATTATGTGAGTCGCGGTGTTGGTAGATATACAACAAGCGAAAGAGGAAACTAATTAATTAAGGAACCGAGTGTTGATGAATATTTAAGATACCATTAGAATAATGCACAAAGTTTTCCCGTTCGTGTGTCAAATTTAATTGCAGTAATTGAATAATAAATTTATGAACCGCAGCTCATTTCTAAATTGCCATTTCAGCCAAAAATCAGCATACGCATAATTATGTGAGAAAACCGAAAGGAAATTAAATAATCTGCAAAATGTGCGGTAAGCTGTTCATTAATCCCGATAATAGCCATTAGCATTCCTTAAAGTCAGTGCATAATTATGTAAGCAGCTTTGAAAAATGGCATTGTGAAGAAGGCAGGCATTACAGGATACCTCAGTAAGCGGATATTAATTTCGCTTTCGCATTTTAATTGTGCCCTGGCCAGGCACACACGCCCGTCTTTTTGAGGCTTAAATTCACATCGCTTACCTTGGCAACGCAGCACCCATTCCCTATCCCATATCCCATTCCCCTCCACCCCAGTCATCCCGTTCCAAAGGTGCCAGGACGACGCCAACACCACGAGCCTGATGGGCAATGACAGCGATGGCGACGCCATGGACACATCCTGCAGATGTCAGCCGTCTGCTGACAGGCAGCTTTCGCCCGGCACGAACCCGATCCGCTCAGGACCAGGGAACAAGCCTGTCCGGAAACATTCCTGACTTATGAAATATGCGGAGCAGTGTAGAGCAGGCGGAACTACCTTTAAGGAGGGGCACTTAGCCCGTGTGTTCCCAGAATAATTTGTTGCCCATCTGTTAGAAAACTTTTTAAGTTAAACAGAGAGACTCTAGTCGAGTGCCTCGTCTATCAGATACCCGTTACTCAGCTAGTGGGAGCGCAACGAGAAAGTTCAACGTTCTTTTCGGCATACCGATAGAAATTGGAAAGACAAATAGTGAAATTAAAAAAAAGTCAGAACTTGATCTGCGTCTATATCCCTTGAATCTGCATGTCTAGTCTCAACTTTCTAGCTCCTATAGCTCCTGAGATCTCGACGTTCATACGAACAGACGGACATGGCCAGATCAACTCGGATATTGATCCTGATCAAGAATAGATATACTTTATATGGTCGGAAACCTGTTACATACTTTTCAACGAATCAGTATACCCTCTGCACTCTACGAGTAACGGGTATGAGAATAGTTCTTATATTTGTATTATGGCTCAAACTGCACTCCTCACAATAAGCGTTAATAATTTAGATAAACTTGGAAATAAGAATCATTTGGGCCTTATTGATACTTTAAAAGGTTTCCATCTGTTTAGACGTAAAATATGTTTAAGTAGTCGGGTTTAAAGTTCTAAGTGCAATAATCAATCAAATCTAACAAGGCCGAGCAGAAACCGTAAGTGAGAACCGCTCCTCAGGCAAAAGTTGTCACCATTTTTTGCCCCCTGCTCTAATCTCGTGTAATGCTTCTGGCAGCCCTTGTAATTTAGTTTGCAGTGTGTTTTTTCCAGTTAGCGGAGACGGGACAGCGACTAATGACTTGGAATTTGTTGCCCGCCAGCCAAATGAGCATGTGTGCACTCGCCCCTTCTTGTGCTCTCTATCACATTCTGTAAGCCAGCTGTTGTCGCCTCTGTTTGCCATTAACGCCTTTTTCAAGCCGAAAAATAGAGAAAACTGCAACTTAAGTGCAACAGAAGCGTGAAAATCATTAAGCTGCAGCTGCCTCTCCGACCCTCCCGCATATGCCGCCGAACAAAGGACACCGCGGGACAAACTAACTGACACAGACAAAGGGGGCAACTTTATCCCTCCTGCAAAACGTCCAACGTGACGTATGAGTTATACAGATAAATTCCGTGCCACATCACTCATACCACCTATCAGCTTTAATTAAATGCAGAAGTGCAACGCAATTCAAAGCAAATGAAATAAATTAAGGAATTTAAAACTATTTAATTTATAACGCTGTGTGAGCCATGTATGTTTATTAACGCTGTAAATGATATTGGATAATTCTGGTTCTCGAAGTTTAGATTTCTTTAGATTTTGCGTTTAAATAAAACCTAATGGTGCCTCACCTAAAATAAAATAGTATTATTTTCATAGAAGCATTTAGGCAAATGTAAGCATTAAAGAAACAGTAAATACAGAAATATAACCTTAAACATTATTAGTTTTGTAAAATAACGTTAATTGGCAAGCGCATCTAATAGCAAATATCTTTGAATTACATGGGTCAGTTTAAACTTTGAATATTTTTTATTTCACATGGAAATACCTAAATAAAAAAGTTATCCAAATCCAAATATTGCCTTCTTTGTTTTTTCAACCCAAGATACAATGTCATGAAGAACGTGTCCGTTTCTACTTGGTCGAACATAGTGGGGTGGACTTGGTCTATGTGGAACCTTTGCCGGTTCAGCTTCCGTAGTTGCTTCCGAGCTTATAATGGAATCAAGCAAATCATTGAACTCCTTTTCCTTACATTCTAAAATTTGATAAGGTTTGAATTTCTGGAAAAGATTACCTGGTTATTAGGATTACCTTGAGTTGAACATGTTCGCTGAAACCTTGGGGGGGAAACCGACTTATCACCTCCTATGTCGAGTGAGATGTGTAATTTTTTTAATGGGCTGGTTATATTTTTAGTTCCCACACTAAATATTTACCTTTTTCTCTGTTGCGATCTAAAACATTCTTGGCTGAGTTATCCAGAGCGTTTTCTTGGCATTGAATTAAGAGTATAGAGGAAAAAATTAGAAGAACAATCGGCAACCTCCCCATCTTGACATCTCCAATAACAATAGAAAACGAAAAACAATGAATCGTACTGAAGGTTGATTTAATTAAAAAAATGTCAGTTGATTTATTTGCCTTTTAAAGCGTAAGAAACTGATTTTGCCCTCAAAGACAGATTAAAGGCCATAAAGCATGAAACTCTAAGCAACTTGGAGCAATATAAGGAAATGAACTAGCAAAGTGACACCTATGCTAAAAAATGAAGTCAATTAATTACCGCAGTCTTTGCACATTGAACGCAGAACAAAATTCGCAGTCATAAGAGAGCAACCGCAAACCCATTCAGGACAATATCTCGTTTGTTTTTCAACAATGCCCTTAATGAACAACGGAAATTGGCGACCATTAAAGTACATTTCCAATAAATATAAATCAAGTAGACAATGCCAGAAGTCGCGCCAATTTAATACGCGGGAGATCTCGGTGCTTAAATTAAATGGATTTAACTGGACCATCTATTATAAAGCAGAACATAAACCATGATTTAATAAACATTTCGGTAGTTTAAGCCATACTTTTAGGCTAAAATATTTCGCATTTAATTGGTAATATGAGCCAGAAACTATTTCGGCTCTTTATTTTTGAGCATATTTCACACAAATAAAAGGGAGTAACACATTACGAAATAATCGATCAGATTTCATCCAAGTAAGCAGCAATGCAATCGAACAATGCTTAAAACATCACAATGTTCTGACATTGCTGGTTATTTTTCGCTCCCATTCAGACACAGGACTATACAATCATGCTGGCTGATAAATAAGGACGCAATTGACTTGAAATCGCTACCGCTTTTACCGCACTCACTGCAAAAGGGATGCTGCGTTGTCTTCAGATGGTGGTAATACATTATGTTCAGTTATACAAGTTTGTGGTTGTAGTTGAGCACACCCCGCCAGTTGACATATGGGGTCAAATGAAACTGCTTTGAGATTTGAAACTCCTGAGAAATCTCCCATGAAACCTTAAATTCCCTGGAAGGGAATAAATATGCTCCTCGTGACATCCTTGGTCGATTTATTCATGTCACGCGGACATCTCTGGTTTTGCAGAACCTGTCGGATGTGTTTTATTGTTGCCTTTTCACACACGCTTTATTTATTTATTTGTATGCTCTCTTCCACTTGGCTCTTTCGTTTTTCCCGCCCCCATGCCATGCCCATGCAGATGTAAGCCGTATTCATTTTTGTTTATCAATATTTGCTTTTTGTATCAATATGCAAAAACTTTTATTAATGACCAATATGTGCAGATTTCCTTTTCACAGCCTTTTATTTAGTTCAGCTACCAGGGGCCGCTGGCAATTTTCTGGCGAGTTGGCTGAAATGATGCAATGTAAATTTTATTTTAAAAGCTTTTAAGGCTTTAAAAGGTGGCCGTGGGCCATTTTTTGTGCGCCGATAAAAATATCGCCAAGCAGTGATATTGAAAGGTTGTCAAATATGTGTACTGTATATAATTTCTTACATTTTTTAAATTCCGCATTATGCATTGTCCAATTTGGCATTTATTTAAATGATTTATTTTGTTTCTTTTCATTATATCACCGTTGTTGCTCTTCCGCACAAAAGACTGCGGATAATGATTGATGGTCAAATGGGTCCACAGCATTTTCCAGCAGCAGCGGCCTCAGCAGGCGCAAGGATTTAAGTTGATTGAAAAGCAAACCGAAAAATCAATTCCAGCTAATGGATTTTCCGCACCGCACTAGGCTAGATTCCTCGTATTCGGATTTCATTAAATTTTATCTTTTTTCCAGGCATTTCCCCACTTTGGTCATTTGCATCCACTGCGGCATCGATTTGGGCGAAGCAATTTTTCAATAAAGGCATACAAAGAAAAAATGTTTGGAATTCCACTTTGCAGCCCAGGCACTCCTCGTTGTTTAGTTGATGTCTACAGCTGTTGGCGTGACTTGTTTTTCCAGCAACATATAAGGTGTAATCATCATCAAGAGATTGAACCTTTTCCTTGTGGAAGGTCGAGCAAACCGGTCCCTCTGCGGTTTCCTCGAGAAATGGTTGCCATTTTGTGTTATGTATCTATAACTGGCATAACGTTTCCTCAGGGCTGCCACAAAAGCCTCTTGACAATTTGGGGCATTTCCTTAAATGACCTAGGGAGCTTCTTTTACTTCTTTTGAAGCTTTAAACTGATATCAAGCACTCGGAAAATTAATGTATACATTGTACATCCCTGTACAGCTGAAATTGCAACTTAAGAGTTCCCAAGCTATACTAATAGGATTCAAAAGATCCCCAATTGAGTTCCATTAATCTCTCAACGAGCTGTCTAAATTGTGAGCATCAGCAGTGTAGTACTTAGCACCTGGTTAAATATTGATAGCTCGTTTATATTGAGTTCAAGCTCGTCCATCGTCCTTGAGGTTTGTACATGGCTGCCAGTCTGCATTTGGATGCCGCGTCTTTGGCTTCGAGTTAATTAGTCGTCTGCACATTTAAAACCTAATTAACAGCCGTGGTCGTAATTAACGTTATTGGCAGCTGGCAATAACAACACCATCATGGGCAGCATGTGGCTGCGCATCCAGAAAAACAGAGTGCGAACTGCTGCCACCCAACTGTCGGACTTTATTAACTCCCAGTCGGAACGAGGCAGGCATCCGCAAGATTGGCGTATTCAAAGCAGATCAATGGGGCCACCGACTGACAGAGGAGCATGCCGCTCCACGGCACCGCATCATGGCCATTGGAAAAGCGTGCCGGGGGAGAGGAAAGCGTTAGACGCCTCCATGTCGTTGGCAATTAAGCATAAATCCGTTGTCACTGCCCGATGCACATTGTTGTTTTAGCCGTTGCTGCCCCTCCTGTTCGCTACTTTTTCCGCTTACAGCACTGTTGCTTATCCTGGTGAAAAATGCACGAGTTGCCGGAAGCGGCGACCACCAGCTGGGTTGGCCTGAACCCAGCTAAAGGTCCTCGCCAGAGAGAGGAAAATTGTGTAGCATTCAAAAGTTTTGTGGAGCATTAAGAACAAAATGGTTACACTACTAAGCAATCCCAGTGGAACTCTATCAGAAATGTGTTGATTCATAAGCATTGTTTGCGATTTGAAATTTGTGTCGCTGGGAAAAAACTAATTGTTTACACATTACATTATTTCTCATAATTTTGCAATTATAAGATATAAGTTATAGGATAAGAAATAAGGTTTCAAAGAAAATGAAGGCCGTTAAAAACTCAATTAGTTGGATACGTTCTGCATGACCAGATTATTTATTAATTTTTCCCGTGTATGTTGAAGGAGAGACTGCGAGCGGGAGAAAATGTGGAAAATTTAAACAATAAACGCTTGGTGAACTCAGCACAATTTCCTCATGTCCTCCTCACTGCACTGCAATCCTTGGCCACTCCTCTCCGGCGGGATTGCTTTCTTTCCCTGCCCGACACATTTCTCTTTGCCTTAGCCCAACAAAAAGAAATAATTAATTTTTATGGTTTTGTCTTCGGGTTGGCACTTTTTGATGCGTCCGTCTGAATGGAGCAGCTCGGCACTGGAAAAGTCAGTGAAGTGAAGGTGAATGGGAAATGAAGCCACTGCAAGTGTAAGCTGAAGTAATTTAGAAATTGTTGTGTTTTTGTTTGCGCATCTGCTTTTTGTCCAGTCGGAAAATGAAGGAAGAATTTTAGCAAATTGACGCATTTTCTTTAAGGATGTCTGTCGCCTAACTCATTCGAAACCGGGCTACAATGCAATCTATTAAAATCACAAATATTTGTAATCATTTACAGCATAAATAGTTCTTGGAATATGAAATATGGCCTAAAATATGTTTAATATGATTTCTCCATCTTGCAGATAAACTATTTGTTATAATATTTCCAGTTTTCTTACTGTTAGTAAGGAACGGTACCATACCGTACCAAAACCATATAATGTATTCATAAAACCGAATATAAAAACAAGATAGAATCGAGTTTCCCGACTGTCAGATACCCGTTACTAGCTAGTGGAAGTGCAAACGTGAAATTTCAACATTTTCTGGAATATCGGTAGAAATTGGGGAAGAAGTAATAAAATGTAAGGAAAACTTAAAACTTCTATGTCTCTGGAAGCTGCATGCTTAATCCCAACATTCTAGCTTTTATAGTTCCTGAGGTCGAGGCGTTCATACGGACGGACAATGCCAGTTTGATTCGACTATTGGCCCTGATCCCTTTTATTCTACGAGTACAGGGTATAACTATGGTCTTCGCACCCCGTTAGCGACATTTAATGACCATTAGAAGGGTCACATATAGTAACCATGAACTGTCCCACGCTATAACTGTTTGCAAGCGCATAAAAATCAAGCTGAACTCAAGTAACAGCCCCTTAAGGAGAAAGTCCGAGCAGGTCAGAGCGTTGACCGCACCCTTTCCCTACCGAACCCCACTTTTCTCGATTTTTCCTGCTGCCGTCGCTATTGCCATGGGTGCGGTAAGCAGGTGAGAAGTGGAGCATGGCACACACTTCACAGGTAGCCGCAGGACCTGCAGTCGAGCAGAACCGCAGCTGAGCCCCATCCTCGCCACCCCTTTTTCCAGCCACTTGCCACCCAATTTTCCACCCACCCGCCACCCACTAGCCACTCCAGTTACACTTACCATTACAGTTACAGTTACAGTTACAGTTTCGGTTTCGGTTTCAGCTCCTTTGTCTTCTCGCTCATAACAATAAAAGCATAATAAGAATAATAAAAAAGGGGAAATCAGCCAAGGAGGATGAAGAGTTCTTTGTGCTGGGTAAAATTTTTAAATATTTTATTGCTTAATTCCAGTGCGTCTTGTGCAAAAATGTAATGGCCTGCAACGCTCCGCTTCACATTACCATTACAATTGCGAGTATTGCCACCTGGCGCCGTTAATTCGAGTAGGTATTAATTATAAAGCCCCAACGGGAACCTGGTCATAAACAAAGAACATCTTGCGTATTGCACTCCATTTTCTGCTTGGATTGCGGTCCGTTAACCGATGGTTCTCAGTAACCGAAATCGTAATGAG